TTTTACCCTCGTAAAGTGTAGGCCTACAATTTTACCCAATATTGGGTATCTTTTTTTTAGAGTGTATATTGGCAATAGTTGCATGTCGAGACAAAATAAGACAGAATTATCTTGGCTAGACATTTTGGAAATTTGAGAGTAGTTAAGAATAATAATAATACTAATAGTGGAATCATATAAAGGTAAAATAGAGGAGGTGTATGGATAGAAACAGGGATAAGGGATGATCGATAAAGATAAGGTACATCTCGATATTTTTTTCATAATAATAATTGGTTAAGATAATTAAAATGCCAGCAAGCTAGCAAATGAAGGGGCGTTTCCGGGATTCCAATTTTCTTTCTTTTTTCTTCTTCTCTTTTTCTCCTTTGCTGAAAGTGTCAGGAAGTTAATTTCTGCGTCTAAATTTTGGTCTTCAAACTTTGGACGCGGAAATTATGCCCTCTCGTAAAAGTGCGAAAACGACGGAAAGTGTTTCAGAATCATAAAGATAGTGATCGGAATATGCAGTTCGGTTGTAAAACGGTGTAGAGGACAACAATAGCCACCAGTTACCGACAAAATTAAATGTCCTAATATCTACAAATTTAACCATATAAACCCGGGGCCGAAGGCTAAATTGTTTTTCCTATGGACTATCTTTTGTACTTGCGTATGCGCAAATGGTCATTTTCCTCGACGACATAAATATACGAATTATTTCGTCAACTTAGTCAGCATCGTAGCTATATATTTTAATGCAGGCGCGGAGCTAGGATCTTATTTTAGGGAGGGGCGGTAGTGAGCAAGCGAATCCCTTAAAGAGCGCGCAAAGCGCGGTCATAAGGGGGATGTGGGGAATAGGCCTCCCGAGCGAAGCGCGGAAGCTTAGACGTTCCTTAAATAATTAGGAAAAGAAGACGATTTAATGTACCGTTTTCGACTGTTAATCCTTGTCTGAAAGAAGTTCCCCCACCCTCCCGCGCGAAGCGCGAAAGCTTTGACGTTTCTTTAAATTATTAGGAAAGCAGACGATATGTTGTACCGTTTTCGACTCTTAATCCTTGTCTGAATTTAGTTTCCCCCTTCCTGCGCGAAGCGCGAAAAGCTTAGAGGTTTGATTTAATAATTTTAGAAGGAAGACGATTCGTTGCATCGTTTTCGACTCTCAGTTAGCCCTATTTATCTGAATTCAGTTTCCCCCTCTCGCGCGAAGCGTGGAAGCTTTCACGTTTCCTTAAATAATTATAGAAAGAAGACGATTCGTTGCATCGTTTCCCACTCTTAATAAGCCCTATTTGTCTGAATTCATGTCCCCCATCTCGCGCGAAGCGCGGAAGCATGGACGTTTGACTTAATTATTATAGAAAGAAGACGATTCGTTGCATCGTTTTCGACTCTTAATAAGCCCCATTTGTCTGAATTCAGTTTCCCCCTCCTTGTTTGAATTTAGTTTCCACAAAAATGTTAAACCTCTGATTTCTTTAGCTGATATTATAGGAAAGTTAAAGTTCGGGAAATTACAAGTATTCTAGTTGTAGTCACTCTCGAAGTCGTCACAGCGGATAAAAAGTCACAGTTCGTAGGGAAAAAAACTTGTCGGCCGACCGACAATATACATCTCACCGACTTCAAACTTCTGCATTGATATAGTACACGAGGATCGAGCAAGAATACCGACACAGCTGACCCAACACAGCAATACATGTTACCCGTGTCTTTCTTGCTTCCTCGACGAGACGACTCCACCCAACAACCCCCTCTCTCTTTTACTCCCACTCCTCCTCTCTCAGACCCTAACCTCCCCTCTCTCTCCTCTCTTTCCTCCCCCGTTTCTTTTGTTTCCCTTTTCTCTTTTTTCTTCTTTTTTCTTTCTTTTTCTTTTTTTCTCTTTCTTTCTTCTCTTTCCTTTCTTTTCCTTTTTTTCTTTTCTTTTTTCTTTTCTTTTCCTTTCCCTCTCCCTTTTCCCCTCCCCCTTTTCTCTTTTTTCCCGACGGCAGCCAATTTACCGACAATATCCTGACAGGTGGGGGGGGGGGGGGGGGGTGTCGCACCCCCATCCCCCCCCCCTCCCTTTGGAGACGCCCCTGAGTGGACACCAAGTTTAAATGGTGTAAGATAGTGGATATAAAGACATAAAATGACATGAAATATTTGAAATTATACACTTAAATTGTAAATAATAATTATGATAATAGCTAGTTCTTATATTATTATAATAGCGCTTTTCAGGATCGAAGGCCTTCTCGAAGCGCTTCACAATTATATATATTATTACCCCGGTCATCGGATTCAGGTTTTGCCGCACACATACTCCCTGGGGAGCATTCCAGCCAAGCGCCATTTTTACAAGCGCACACTTGCTAATCCAAGCAATTTTAAAAACAGGTGCGTTTCGCTGTGAACAGGCGCGATAACAGTCGCCCTCAAAGCTACGTCTAAACTATGTTCCCGGCATCACGGCAGCCACGTTTGCCTGAAACATTCTGTATTCAAGATTTGTTGGGTGTTGCTAAGTGTTTGTCAAGGTCTATCACGGTATCCTTCCCCTCGTTGCTTCACGTCCATCCCTTTTTGTACGCAAAGGCCGGCGTGAATAGAAATGTAAACAGCTTGAAATGATGTCACAATCGGAAAATGAGCGCCATTTTTTGGGAAAGCTCAGTTACACGTTTCAACAAGTTGCAACTTCAAGCATCTTAGTCCAGAATCTGGCCTATTTAATTTTGATCTCCACCGCACCAACGCTACCTCTCCCTACTTACTTGCTACCAGCCGATGATGGCGTGATCATTAAATAAAGACGCCCAGCGAAACTCAGGCTAGGCTGGTGAGCATAATTATGAGTCTGTTGATAACGCCATCTTCGACGGCTTGGATCAAGTGTGGGGAAATTATAAAGGACCGTGCAGATTCTGGATTACAAGCATCTCCGCCTGGCTGCCGCCACTAAAACTTTAAGCATCTCCGTACGGCGGCCGCCAACTGGAAACTTTAAAGTTGCAACTTTAACAACCTATTTTTGGCGGGGGCCGGCTGGGCCAATTATAGACGTGCCGCCAGGCGGGGGGTGGATGGGCCGATTAAAGATTCCGTGGTAAAACTCAGATCCCAGCCTGGCGCAAGCCGGCTGGGCTAATCAGTGAAAATTAATTGCCCCAGCCAGGCTTCGGGCGGAATTGCAGCCTCGATCCGCCAATGCGTGAGGCGGTAGCCAGCTGGTATCGATATTTTTGACGCCTCGCCTAAAGTATAATATAAAAGGACCGTATGCAAATTTTCTGTACTTTTGTCGGAAAAAATACATTTATCCAGCACAATGTCGTCTCTTTTTGCGTTGGAGAAGAGCAAATAGCGAGTTTCAATCACACTTTGGCCGCTCTCGCAAGCTCTCACTCGTTTCACTGTGGTCAAGAGACTTTGGGGCAAGCGGTTAATGAAAATACTAATCGTTAGCTTTCTTCTGGTATCAAACTTTTTTTGATTGATTGTATAATTTTATCGGAATAAAGGAAACAAAAAGGCTCGACCAATAACTTATCAGGGTCTGAATTGACCTTAATTTGACCTTGAATTCCCTGATGCAAGCGCACTAATGACGTCATCTTTGCTAAATCGGTGTCTTTTATCGTAAAATGCGACACTTTCACAATGTTTATACATCTTTTTTTAATTATTAATACGATAAAACATATTTTTTCTGATATCATTGAAGTTTTGGGTTTTATCGAATGAGTAATTTTAAAATAAGACCCATTCTACTGTTTTAATTTACTGGATCGTACCATTAAATTCGCAGGGTAGAAAGATGCATTTTCCAACCGCGCCAAATTTAATTTACGTTCCGACATTCTGTTAAACGGGTTCGTGTTGTTAAGAATCCACTGCTTTCTGCTCCAACAAACGTCCACATGTGGAGTGGTTTATCAACTAAATTATTCAAATTTATGGATGCTTCCTAGCTTCCCAGGTGTTTGTGTTGCTGTTGAAGCATTTCATTCACCTACTATCATTCTTTGTAGTCCAATTGCCAGAACGCAAATTTCATTTTGGTTTTCTCATCGGAGTCGTTTATCAACTATATGTATTCAAATTTATGAATGCTTCCTCCCCAGGTGTGTTGTGGTGTTTATGCATTTAATTCACCTGTTATTATTCTTTGTACTCCAATATTTATTGTTAGAGTTAAAGTATGTTCTGCACAATAAAAACAATGTGTGTCCCTATTGTACAACGTAACGTGTCCCGTCATTTTGTAATAGTTAATTTACCCATTCACATAATGGAACTACCTGCCCGATGAAGCCAGTGGCCTGTGACCCCTGAGCACTCAACACCGTGTGGGAGTCAGTTCGTGGTCAGATGCTTTTATGAGACAAATACAAGCAAACGTTTCCATATGTTGACTATTGGCACAACGTTAGGCAAAGTATTGGAAAATATTGCCCAACCTTTTCACGGTGTAGTATTTTAAAGAGTAATCATGATCCTAAGGATATTGATACAAAGACAAAGATCTTTCTAAAGTAGTATCTTTTCCCAGCACGGAGGGATTGCAATATTTTTCCACACATCTCTAGCTGTTATCTGCCAATTATAAGATGATGAAGCGGATCCTAATCATTGGTTGAGAGCGTACACGTGACCAGGCATTTATTTTGCCTAACACGTAATTTACTAATGACCGGTCATTAGTAGAATCATGTTATAAAACATCATTTTATAAAACAAATAAAACATCATCTTATAAAACAAATAATACATATCATTTTGTTCGGGCATTAGTAGAATTACCCACACTCGGTACCTTGTGTGGGCAATTCTTACTAATGCCCTCACTGCTGTGTATACTCTAACACACTCCATCACGCAGTATCTCCGCGGTTTGTAATTGCACACAGCACACGCACACATACGCACCCATGCGAAATAACACACACGCACATACGCACACACACTATTTTTTCGTTCTATATCCTTATTTGATTCGAAATATGAATTTTCTTTAAATTCTTGTGTAGCCGCCGACATCTGTGGGACAACTATAACGTATCCTGGCACACTGGAGTCTCCGGGATTCCCGAGCCCTTACGCAAACAACCTTCGGTGTAACATCACCCTCATAGGCGGCAGCGATGCTCCCATTGTATTACAGTTTCAAAGTGTCGACTTCAGGGATGATGGCGATGGGGTTATGGTCGAGGACCAGTATGGAGCTGTCTCGGTAAGTCTCTAAAATAACCTACCTATCTGTTGACGACATAGGAGGCACGGTGGCTCAGTGTCACAGGCGTATCCAGGATGTTTCAATAGGGGTGGGGGCGGCATGAAGGAATGATAAGCAGGACAAAATCTACATCACTACCACCCTTACATGCATGCCCCACTTTTCAAAGTGGGTTGGGGTGCTAAAGCAGTCGATATGCCTTTTATATGCCGAATTGAAACAAAAATCTACCAAGAATTCTTACATTATCCTTTTATTGAGTAAAGATTGGTTAACACATCACGAAAAATCTGAGAAACTGTCTGTAAATCTTAATTTGAAAAATGACTGAAATTTTTGATCATTTGGGAATCGCAGACAAAAGGCACTGTTTGGTGTCCGCGCTCGCACAAACACACGCCCCTCTCTCTCTCTCTCTCTCTCTCTTTTCTTTTCAGACCACCAACCTAGTCAAGCGTCGTTTATGACTGTGGTCTCCTGCACTTTTTCACAGATAGTTCGGATAATACTTTAAACTCATAATACTATATTATAGAAAAATTAAGTTCGTTATCATTATGTATACATGTAAATCACATCTTTACGTGAAGTTATCATTTTTTGCATAGTTATTTGTTTCAAACATTACGTTTACGATCATGTTCTTTGTTATTGAATGATTGTATTTGGAAAAATGCAGAAATATCAAAACCAAAACATTTCAAATCTCGCTGTCTCTCTCTCTCTCTCTCCCTATACTCCATCTCTCTGTTTATCTCTCTCTTTTCCTTGCTCTTTCTCTCTCTCTCTCTCTCTCTCCCTCTCTCTTTCTCTCTCTCTCTCTCTCTCTTTCTCTTGCTCTCTCTCTCTCTCTAGTGGGTTACTGGCAATGAGGTTCCTAAGGAGTTTCTAAGTAAAGTACTGCATGTGACCTTTATATCTGATGGCGTCAATACCAACGGAACCGGATTTCAAATGACTTATGCTGAATACCCGAGAAGTAAGCATTGGTTATCATTTCGATTTTTATTTCATTTTCTGCATCGATTCATTTCTGTTTCTTTTCTTGACCCCATTTTCCCTCCCTCCTAATTGTTTTTTGTTTTGTCTCCTTCTGCCTTCCTTATTTCTCTCTGCTTCCCTTCTCTCTCTCCTCTCTCCACCTTCTACCCCTCTCTCTCTCTCTCTCACACGAACACACAAACACGCATGCACTCTTCTCTCTCTTTATCTCTTTCTCTCTCCTTATATCCCTCCTCTCTATCTTCTTATCTCCTCCCCCTTGCTCCCTCTCTCTCTCTCTCTCTCTCTTTCTTCTTTTCTCGTTTATCTCTATCTTTCTCTCTCTCTCTCTCTCTCTCTCTCTCATTCCTCTTGCACCCCTTCCCCTTTTGTATAGAATCATTTATAAATTACTGCTCACTATATTTCTCTCTCTCTCTCTCTCTCTCTCTCGCTCTCTCTCTCTCTCTCTCTCTCAATTCTATTTCAATATAACAAATGAGTACTAACCAACATGTAGATGTACATTGTTTTCACTTAAAACCGACCTTTGGGTCTCATGACCTAACTTTTGAAATAAACCTAATAACGTGCTACGAAGTGTAGGCCTAGTTTCTACAAAATCCTTCCAAATCTGAAACGAATAATGCATTATCATGATTGTATTATTTATTTTTAGATGATGTGCCAGTAAAAGAAACATTCCACCAAGTATCGATGAAACCAGGCAAGGCACTTCACCTGTACAGCAACGACTACCCCATGAACTACGATGACACCACTCACTATATTTGGAACATTACGTCATCCGATCTCATGACCTTTACCATGGTCGACGTAGAACTCGAGGTACGTGATTGGATGAAAGTCACCTCATACTCCATGACTCGTGACCCTACGGAATGGCTTATGCAAATGGGAACGCCCTCCGCGAACATTGGACAAATCACGGTAGCGGAGAGTGATTACGTCATTGTAGAGTTCCGGACGGATTTTTCAGGGCGGGCCTCCGGATTCCACATCATTGTTGAACCGAACAGCGGTGAGTCATTAATAAACAGAAGAAATAGAAGAAAGAAGATGAAGAAAGGAAAAGAAGAAGAGAAGAAGAAGGAGGAAAAGAAGAAGAAGAAGAAGGGAAAGAAGGAAAAAATAGGAGAAAAAGAGGAAGGAGGATGAATAGCAACAAGAACGCATATGAGGAGAATGAGAAGGAAGAAGTTAGAGGAAAAGGAAGAAGTTAGAGGAAGAGGAAAAAGAAAAAGGTAGAAGAACAAAAATGTGGAGGAAGAACAAAATAAGTAGAAAAAGATACAGAAAAAGAAGAACGCAAATTTTACACAAGAATAGTGCTACAAGTAATGCATACGATACTGAAAATCAAGGTGAAGTTTCATAGTGTTGTGTGAACGTAACATTTACATTTAATAAATTATGTTTAAGGGCATTGTTTAACAATGTTTCCAGCGTTACAAATCTGAGATGTATGGCCCTACGTGTTATCAGTGTCTTTGATATGGTGTAATATTGAAGCCCTAAATAAAAGGGGTTTAAAGTGAGCATGAAGTGCCTCAAAAAAGTAATAACCTTTGAGAGACCGGTTTTACCATACTCATTTTCTCCAGTAGACTGTAGAGTTATAATTAAAAACCGTTGGGAATTTTTTTTTTTTTTTTAATTTAGAATTCCAATCCTAAATATCTTGATAATCAGACATGCGAGCGGCTTATAAAGGTCATGGGATGCCTGACTGATTTAAAGGTTTATTATTATGATTGCAGCATGGGCTAAATCCAGGATTTGTTTAGAATCTGAGACAAAGATACAAATCCCTTTAAAATAGTAACACTTAACATGCTTTAGGAACGGAAATTCAATAATTTGTAAGAAATTAATATTCGTATTATTTGATTACAGTTGCAGCAATGGAGGAAAAGCCGGTTTCTTCACCATGTGGTGGCAACTTTACACTGGCCGAATCTGGTAAGAAACTAATGTTTGACAAACTAATTAAGCCCAATGAATGTTAGGCTTCCTTGGATAACTTTTTGTATTTTTATATTTATTGACATTTATTTCCTTCTCAACAGTACAATATGAAACACAATGTATATATAAATGATATATGTAACAATTATTTCAACATAGAGTATACAGTAAATAATTCAGATACGGAAGGAGGCGAAAACCCGGAAAGCATAGCTTGAGTTGGGAACGCCCATAATAAGTTAACACAGTTACCGAGAGAACATTATAGATATTATTATGAAAATGGGATAACTTTTTGTATTTTTGTATTTATTAACATTTATTTCCTTCTAAACAGTACAATATGAAACACAATGTATATATAAATGATTTATGTAACAATTATTTCAACATAGAGTATACAGTAAATAATTCAGATACGGAAGGAGGCGAAAACCCGGAAAGCATAGCTTGAGTTGAGAACGCCCGTATTAAATAAGTTAACACAGTTACCGAGAGAACATTATAAATATTGTTATGAAAATTACATTTTTATATAACAGAACGTTGACAGGAAAGAAAAAATAGTAAATGGTAGAGAGAACAAAAATGAGGAGAGAATTAAGTATAGGAAGCATGTTCACTTATAAAGAGAAATTTAACAATAGGGCTGTGCATGTGTCTGCGATTACATCATAAAAATAACGAAGTACTACTATTCTAAAATAGACTTTCGATTGTTATCAACAAGTTTGTGGCTCAACAGAGCTGATCATGAGTATTGTTTGAAGTGCAAATGCACTGAAAATTATTATCATTTATTGTATGACTATGAGTAATCAAAAGTATTTTGGAACAAGGTCTTAAATTTTCTCAGAAAAACAGAAGTATTGTTTGGTAATGAAAGAATTGAATACAGTGATATAATTGTAGGCAAGCGATGTGATTATATAAATTCAAAATATATAGTTTTTCAAAATCTATTAATTAATTTAGCTTCTTGTGTTTTATACACGCACAAAAAAAAAATGGAAAAACAAGTTTTTGGCTCACACAGAGTAGACAAAGCATTCGTGCTCGATCTTGTAATTGAAAGCAATTCAGAACAAGTATTTTTAACCAGTGGGATGTTTACCCAGTAAACGCGAATCGGCCGATCGGGTATATTGTAGCTACATGACCTGCACGCTTGCATTAACGTAAATGTGAATACAGTTAGGAATCAATATTGTTACGCAAATTAGTTTTTATTCAGATTTATATGAATGAGACATAATGCGCGTTTTTTTATGCCATTTCTCTTTTTCACAGATAAGCATATACGAAGTTTATTACACGTTATTTTGCTTTGATCTTTAGTAAACGTTAAACGTTTACACATGGAGGTTTGGGGGTTTAGTGATAGGAGCGACCTTTGAACCCGGATACGAATAGGTTTAAGGGCATCGTTTAACAATGTTAAATCTGAGGTGCATGGCCCTACGTGTTATCAGTGTCTGTGTCTCTGCGATATGGTGTAATATTGAAGCCCTAAACAAAATTTGCTTCAAAATGATCAAGAAATGCCTCAAAAAATTAAAAATCTTTTATTGACCGGTTTTACCATACTCGTTTTCCCCCAATAGACTGTAGTGTTATGAAAACCGTTAGGAAAACGCAAAATTTGGTTTCGATTTCCAGTCATAAATATCTTGATAATCAGACAGGCGATCGGCTTGTAAAAGTCATGGGGTTCCCGACTGACCTAAGGGTTTATAATTATCATTGCAGCATAGCTAAATCGAGGATTTTGTTTCAGAATCTGAGAAAAAGTTACCGGGTCCCTTTAAAGCTGAGCTCGAGGCTCCAAAGCATTAATTGATAATGCTTTAATCCTCTTTGATTTTTGATTAGATGAGAACTACCATGGTTCTTCTACATGATAAAACGTCTGAACAAACCGAAAGATAATACAATCTTAGCCAACTGTTCGTGTCGTTTGGAAGACAGAATTTCCCGACCAGATTTTAATCTCGGCCAAAATCAACAAATTTATTGGTTCTTTTGACCAAAATTGATCATTTACCAATCTGCTGTTTATACACTTTAGAATGTATGCCAATTACGTAAGTTCGATCGACCTTTGACTTTATATATCAGGGGCCCGTTTCATAAAACTTTGTATCTATAACAAATGCTAAATTTCTATGACAAATTTGCTCTCAGCCAATCAGATGCCATGATTTCAGTAGCTTATAACAGTAGCTTGTAACTTGTTATTGATATCAAGTTTGCTCTCAGCCAATCAGATGCCTTGATTTCAGTAGCTTATAACAGTAGCTTGTAACTTGTTATTGATATCAAGTTTTATGAAACAGGGTCCTGCACCTGAAGAGAAAGAAACAGCAGGCTGTCAAAATAGTCTAGAGACAGATCCATATTTTTTTTATTCAGTTAAAACTTGACTCTGAGGCTAAAGTTACGTTTAACAAAGGAAGAATTAGAATTCACTGAGATGTTAAACTTCAATTTGAACAAATCACTAAGAGTCGGGTTAAAAGTTTGTAGAAAACGGGCCAATATTATCTTCCTCGTTTTTAAATTCAGTTTCAATTCTTCTCTTTTGCTCTCACTTTCTCTCCCCTCTCTTTTCTCTTTCTTTTTATTCCTTCATTTCCTTCCTTTCCTTCCACCCTCTCTCTCTCTCTCTCTCTAATGCACCTATATATATTCATTTTGCCACAAATCGGGTATTATATGCTTGCACAATATGAATGAATGTATCAATTTTAAATTTGTATTGTATTTAATCTTCTATTACATAACTGTGCATGTTGTAATGCATATCCAAAGTAATTCAGCTGATGAGCCGTAATGTGATTTTCAATAAATAATCTTTCAATCAATAAATCAATCAAACAATCGACATGTCAATCAAACAATCAATCAATCAACCAGGCAATCAATCAGGCACTCAAGCAATCAATCAATCAACCAGGCAACCAATCAGGCAATCAAGCAATCAATCAATCAACCAGGCAACCAATCAAGCAATCAAGCAATCAATCAATCAACCAGGCAATCAATCAGGCAATCAAGCAATCAATCAATCAACCAGGCAACCAATCAGGCAATCAAGCAATCAATCAATCAACCAGGCAATCAATCAGGCAATCAAGCAATCAATCAATCAACCAGGCAACCAATCAGGCAATCAAGCAATCAATCAATCAACCAGGCAACCAATCAAGCAATCAAGCAATCAATCAATCAACCAGGCAACCAATCAGGCAATCAAGCAATCAATCAACCAGGCAACCAATCAAGCAATCATGCAATCAATCAATCAACCAGGCAATCAATCAGGCAATCAAACAATCAATCAATCAATCAGGCAAACAACCAGGCATTCAAACTCTCTATCAATCAATTATTTATCAATCATTCAATCAATATCATTCATCAATTTACCGACTAATTGATAAATTAAGCAATCTCTCAGGCAATAAATCAATCAATCAATCAGTCAAACTTTCAATCAACAAACAATCAATCAGTCAAATCAATCTATCAATCAATCAATCTTTCTATCAGTTAATCTACCTATCAATCAATCAATCAATATATCAATGAATCAATCTTTCTATCAGTCAATCTATATTTTAGTCAATCTATCAATCGATCAGTCAATGCATCAATATACCGACCAATTAATAATATTCAGCAATCTCTCAGGCAATAAATAAATAAATCAGTCAATCAATCAACTAAACTTTCAATCAATCAATCAATCAGTCACTAAATATATCAGTCAATTTATCAATCAATCAGCCAATGCATCAAGCTATCGACCAATTAATAAATTTCTCAGGCAATAAATAAATCAATCAACCAAACTTTCAATCAGTCTTTCAAGTAAACAAACAATCAATCTTTCAATCAATCCATCTATCAATCTATCAATCTATCAATCTATCAATCAATGCATCAATCTACCGACCAATTAATAAATTCAGCGATCTCTCAGGCAATACAAAAATCAATCAGTCAATCAATCAGTCAATCAATCAGTTAATAATTGATATATATCTATCGACCAATCAATCAATCAATAATTGTTTGTTCTTCAGCCCTTACCTTCAACCTGCCTGCCGACACAGCTGATCTGCACTGCGTCTACAGGATAACCAACAGTGACACCACCTCCAGGGTTCGAGTCCTTGTGGAGGAAATGACTTCAGAAGAGGGGTAATTATGAAATTCTGAAAATTCAAGCAATCCTGAACACAAATGACTTCTAATCAGTCGCTCATAAAGTAATAACGTCTCTATCGTTGTCTATAACGTAGGCTTAGTAACGCAAAAACACTCCTGTTAAAGAAGTTAGATCTCTGTATTCATGTAACAAATTAACAGTGATACAACCGTTCAAATGCATTATGTCTTTTTGGAAGAAATAACTGCAGAAGATAGGTAAATGCGACAACTTAAACGTTTAATACACCAATATAGGTTTTGATTATTGCATTACAGTCTATTAGTTAAATAGTATTAATTGTTACTGTCTACTCATCTTTACCGACAATTTTTATGATGCAAAAGTCTTTCTATTCAAATCCTCATTCAAATAACTATCAGTAACAACAACACCAACAACAACAAAGACAGTTCATTTTTAGTCCAACATTCTCTCTCTCAAAAAAGGGAAAAAAGACGAAGAAGAAGGGAAAAACAGTACCGTCATAACATTTTTGGACTAGTTTCATATTTTGAAAAATATGCCACTTGGGTTTCCACATGGAAACGGGAAGGAGGGAGAGGGTGGCCGTGATCCTAACCCGCCTGTGAATAGACCAGTTCACGGTTAGCACATGTCCCAAATGACCCCGAATATCCACAGATCTTCAAAACATGAAGAGGTCCCACTTTGTAGGCCTACATTCTGAAATAATCACTCCTACAGTGATGGAGGTGCTACTTAAATAGCCTTTGTTTCCCCTTTGCAAAGCATACTTCCACTTGTGTATCATGGAGTGCACTGCTTGTGCATAAATGAATAATGATTACATAACTTTAATGAGCACGTATCCAGTATTTTGTCTCTGTGTATTTCACAATTTGTTCTGCAATGACCTTTATCTGCTCATGCTCAGACTGCAACCGTGAACTGGCTTTAAGAACTTCCCCGCACGCACCGCGTCCCTAGTCCGCGTACAGCTGACTCCTGACACAATGACGTCACAGACGTTCGGTCGGTAACTGTAAAACCCCTTATTAGAGTGTCCATTGTCCTTTATCATTCTCAGAATCGACGCCCTGCACGTCTTCACCGGTCTTGATCACTCGGACTGGTCTGCCTACCGACGTCAGCTCACCGGCTCAGTCAATGACGAGGTCATCTTCCTCCAAGAGGGTCATGGTGTGACCATGGTTTTAACTTCCGGGTCAGCTAACATCAGTCGATCGCTCACTGTAGTCGTAGAGCACGTCCAAGGTGATTTTTCAACAACAAAAAATATGTTGCTTAAATTATTTTTAAAGGCATCGTTTAACTTTACAATGTTAAATCTGGTATGCACGGCCCTACGTGTTATCAGTGTCTGTGATATGGTGTAATATAGAAGCCCTAAGAAAATTGCGCTTCAAAATGATCAAGTAAAAACCTTTCAGTGGCCGGTTTTGCCATACTTGTTTTCCTCAATAGACTGTAGTGTTATGAATACCGTTAGGCAAACGTAAAATTTGGTTTCGATTTCCAATCATAAATATCTTGATAATCAAACAGGCGATCGGCTTGTAAAGGTCACGGGGTTCCTGACTGACCTAAAGTTTTATAATTATCATTGCAGCATGAGCTAAATCCAGGATTTTGTTTCAGAATCTGAGACAAAGTTACCTGATCCCTTTAAAGTATAGTTGGAGCCTCAACGAAATACTAATGTTGTGCAATGTTGAAACAGTATCGATGAACATTATGTGCTTAATTTGCCACATAATATTGTGAAAGCGTTCAAATCACCCCTTTTCTAACACTGATGCATATTCTCTATGATTACCTCTGTATCCTGTCTAGATATCCCTATATGGTAACAGTTTTATATATTTATAATGTGATTCGTTCTGTCGCCACAGTATAGAGTGGTGAAGTGTGACGTCATCAAAAATCTATTTTTAGAATTTCTCAATTTTTTCTTCATATTCCGAAAGAACACCAAAAACAATGTCCAAATGTAGAAAACCAATTGAATATGTTAAATATTGGCTGAGTTATGACCATCCGAATTATGTCCTGCTCTGGCTCTACCATTAGGAGCCATAGCATATAACACTGAGTTCCTATGGGGAGTATCTTTATTCAGATGGTCATATCTCTGCCAATATTTAACATATTCAATTGGTTTTCGACATTTGGACATTATTTTTGGTGTTCTTTCGGAAAATGAAGAAAAAATTGAGAAATTCTAAAAATAGATTTTTATGACGTCACAGCTTCGGTACTCTATACACAGTTCGTTCGTTTGTGTCTCCTTAGATCAAGATTAATGTATCTTGATCTAAGGAGTAGTTGCTACAACCGGCCGTGTCAGACACGTTGCCCCGGGGTGCGAGATAGGACTCTTGTAGCGTGCCCCCATTTAAAACAATTATACAAAAACAGTTAACATTACATTTAATTAATGGTATGAAACTATTAAAATTACTCTCATGTTACGGGAAAAAAATATGATATATATATATATCTATATATATAAAATCAATTGATTTGGTCGATCCAGTTCGATGGCACAAACACGGCACTACTGGACAGAGATCCGAATAATTACAGAGCTTGGTCTTGTATACACAGTGCCCACAGTGACGACCGCTTACTTAACACACATTCATAAACTGTGAACACAATGCCTTTATATTATTCAACCCATGAGGGGGTATATGGATGTTCCATATAATAACATTTTTATCCATTCTCCAATTAATTCTTGCCGTGACCACAGTGTTACAATGTTACCACAGTGTATGCAACACTGCATCAAACAATTTGTAAACTGTGAACACAGTGAATTGTTCTCATGATCTATATGAGATTGATCCAAACGTCATCTTTGATGAAATCTTGATATGCCAACATAATTATATACTGCACTGTGGCTAAAGTGGCCGTTGAGTGCACAAAATGAATGCAGTGCATCAAGTAATGTTTAACTGTTAAAGTCCGTCTGCACTATTTGGGCCAGGAGGTTATACCTCCCTGTAAGGTCACTGACAGGTGGTTATCTCGTCAAATCAGCTCTCAATTAACATAAGAAATAGAGGATCATGGGGGGACCAACAGGCACCGATTAGACATTATTTGCTATATAGAGGACACAAGTAGCTATAGGTAGTGCAGTGGGGCTTTAAGATACTTTGTTCACATTATAAACCCATGAAAGTGATCCAAATATCCGCTAAGCTTACATTGATCCAGTCACACTAGGGCCACATTATAACAACACAGTGACCACAGTATAACGCAATGGATACTGTTTGTATCACATTGTGTGTACTTTGAACAATTGCACTATGTATTAACCCCTTACAGTGCTCCATAACTATGGTTATATGCCGAGCCATTTTCAAAGGGATCTTCTAATCTATGCAGCCAGAGTATCACATGGGGACCACGATGGGTATTACACAGTTCGTACATTTTTTTATCAATTGTTAAGTTGTGGTAAGTATTTATTTTTTAAACTGATTTCATTTCTACTTTCTAAAAATAGATTATGGTTGTGGAGGAACGCTTGATCTGACAACTTCAGACGGGATGGGAACCATTCACATTGGAAACCTGTCCGCGAGCATGATCGACGTGTATTGTCAATGGCATGTCCACACGTCGATGCTGACAAATGTGAACGTCCGCGTATCATCACAGTCTGGTAAGTGATTTAAAGAAGATGAGAAATAGCTAGAATGATTGACTTCATGTAGGGTCAGAGAGAGAGAGAGAGAGAGAGAGCAATGCAGAGAGAGAGAGAAACAGAGAGAGAGAGAGAGAGAGAGAGAGAGAATGTGTTGGAAACGGTGAGGATCCGAGAAAAAAATTCAAAGACAGGGAGGCAGGTACATATGAGAGAAACAGAAAGAGAGAGGGATAGAGATATATGATGATGATGATGATGATGATGATGATGATGATGATGAATAGAGAGAGAGAGAGGGAGAATAGATATGATCATTCATTACCTAATAAACAAATAGATAAGTAGGTGAATAAGAAAATGAATGAATACAAACATGCATTTCTGAATGAATGGATGAACCGAGTAAATGGATACAAAAAATGAACGACTTAAAGAAATACATAAAGGATATAATAAACTTATGAATAAAAATTAGCAAGTGAACAGCTTAATGGATATATAAATGTTATACATGAATAATTAATTCAAAAAAGAATTCAACACGGTGGCAAAAAATTTCAAAAACTCAACATGAGGCAATTTCAATAGTTTATGATTTCAACATGTTTTCTATAAGCAATACACTCGGGCGTTAGAATTGATTTGATTTCTGAAAAGGTTTGCTTAACTGTGTTTCTCTTTCCAAACAGAATCCCTGTATGACATGTTGGAGATCGGCTACGGGTCCGTTCCCACCGATCTGGGTAGCCGGTTGAAGCTGATGACGGACAACGTCAGGAACCAGACCTATTCCACCTACAATGGCGACCTCTGGATCGTATTCTCCGCCGAGGATGTGATGGCCAATGAAGTCGACATCGAACTCGTGCTTGATGACGGTAAGCCAAAATGGTGACATGCTTACTAATGTCTACGTACTTTTCAAGCACTATCAAATCTAAAATAAATCACCATTTCCAAAAGCCGAGGAACGACCATTTTTCACAATGTCAGATTAACCTGTTAAGCACGCTAGGTTCGACCTTTATAGTGTTATTTCCAACATGTCCTAAGTGTTAATCTACCACTTTGAAACAAGTGGTGTTTATTAAATATAATATATAATTCAACGCAAGAAATAATTATCATCCGTACGAGAAAAATTTGTTTTATATTGTATACGTTATTTTTATATATTTATATAAATATATATTTATATTTTTATATATATTAACATACACATAAAATTATTGATCGCGGGTAGGTATTGTCTTCGTTGGTAGTTGTGAGACAAGGGTATTTGTCTTGGTGCAATTCCCTGATGATGATTTTCGTAGCGGTATTTTTTGTCCGGCCTGCTAGTCCGGGTAAAGGCGAAAGTTGTCCGGGTAGAGGCGAAAGTTGTCCGGATAGAGGCGAAAGTTGTCCGGGTAGAGGCGATAGTTGTCCGGATACGATATAATGTAACAGGCTAATAAAAATGCCTGTATACCTTTTTTTCTCCTTCATAGATGCCTGCCTGATTGACACACGCTTGGACCTGAACGGCGTCATCTCGACCCCGCAGCTCGCCGGTGGGTTCTACCCGAACGACGCTGACTGTCAGTGGATCATCCAAGTCCGCGGGGGATTCCGAGTCCGTATTCATTTCACCGAGTTCGACTTGGAATTTGGGCACGATAAAATCATCATCGGTGGCTCCGATCTCGTCGATGACAACTTCGGAACCTCGTATATCGTAAGCTGCAACAAATGCATAACTTTTCCTCTCTCAGTTAATTCAAGCAATATAAAATATTTTGTCTTATTCTCAAACTTAAATGTACTCTGTAAACTTATTTCATTACGTACATAGTTATCAGTATTTAGTTATTTGTATAATTAATTTGTTATATTATATATTGTAATATTGTATGGTTTTACATATGTCATTTACATTTTTGGATATTTGAGTGGAAAAATAAATAAAATATAAAAAACGATATATACAAAAAACTAACATGATAGGAAACAAAATCAATTTTGCACTTTCAATTGCCTTTTCAGTCACTATGTAAAATGTGCAGAAATAACAATGCTCTATTTTTATTATTCGAATATGTTTCCAAAAAGGCATTGAAATATCCAATCAGTTTATTTTTCAACAATGTTTGTGATCGTGTTATTTTCTTAGGTCACATATTCGAAGCATTAGAATATAAGAATAGGAAACTTTTTGGCCCGAATTCATAAAGAAGGTTTGTCGACAAACGTAGGTTTGTGTGCGTCATAAGACGCGTTTTTTACGCGTTTGTACAAACCTTGTAAAAACTCGTCGAAACGCGTCATATCACGCACATAAACCTAGGTTTGAGTGTCGACAAACCTCCTTTGTGAATTCGGGCCTTAAGGTTTAAAAAGGCTTGATGGCAGTAATTGTTTCGCTAAAGAGACATTCCAACCATTCTGTTTAATGCAACAAACCTATCTTAATAACTTGCCCGCTTTAACAAGTCATCTTCTGTGTTACTCGTTTAAAATTCAACTTTTTAAATAATTCCTTTTCTTTGTCGTCATAGTTGCTAAAGCCGAAAAGATTGATGTTATCTAAAATCGGAAAATCAACTTTCTGTTATGACGATCGATGTAATGCCTCAAAACTTCTGATAAATCTTTGTTTTCATTCTGGATTATTTTATTCTTCAAACAGATTATTACTGGTTCAGAATTACCCAATGATGTCAACAGCCGGTACAATGGCCTCAATATCCGATTCACATCCGATAGCACTGGTACCGGTTCCGGATTCAGTTTGACTTATGAAGAATTCTGTAAGTTCTGTTTCGTTAACCTTAAGTTGACAAAGGGCTAGATGTGAGAGAGGGAGGCATTCGGGGGAAAGAGAAAGAAAGAAAAGGAAAAAACTCAAAGGGAAGGGAGTTAGAAACAAGTAGACGAGGGTTAGAAGCAAAAGACACCTATACAAAGCCGGGAGAGAAATATAAAGAGGAGTTGATATTGTGAAAGAGATAGAGAAAGGGAGATGGAGAGAGAGAGAGAGAGAGAGAGACAGGTTGCCAAGAATATAGAGAAGATAGAAAGAGAGACATCAGTACTAGAGGAGAAGATGGGGAATAGGATAGAATGCATGAGGGGGGAAAGACAGGGAGGATGAGGGGAGAAATAGAGAAAGGGAGAGAGAGAGAGAGAGAGAGAGATGGAAAGAAGAAGAGGAAGAGAGAGAGAAGAAGAAAGAAAGATAGAGAGAGAGAGAGAGAGGGTGGGATAAGGGGTGGTTAAAACACGAGGGGCAGATACAGATACATATTTTAGCATTAACATGTAGAGAGGGATAGAGAACAGGTCAGAGAGAAGGAGGGGGAGGGGTTTATATCATTTACGCCTGTTTTGCACCCTATGGAAGAAATGGAATAACCCAATTACGTCACGTTCCTCCTCTTTATCCAGTTGATTGCCCTACCGGATACAGTTACAACCCGTCCAACGATACTTGCTACAAGTTCGTGGAAACGCCCACCGATTGGTTCAGCGCTCGCTACGACTGCACTGACGTCGCCGATGGTGATATTGTCGTGATCAATGACCAGGTGGAGAACGAATACGTCCTCGAAACGATCAATGCGATGAAGGGCAACGATTCAAGTGACTGGTGGATAGGTGAGTTGTGCTGCCATAATTTCGTAAAAGAAGCAGATAGAGAGAGAAAGAGAGAGAGAGAGTGTGTTTGTGCGTGTGTGTGTGTGTGTGTATGTGTGTGTAGGTGAGGGTTATGATATATTATATGTATGTACAGAGAAAGAGAGAGAGAGAGAAATATGAATTAACTATGGAAACAAGTAAGGATCGTGTTAACATGGTCATCTTAAAAAAACATGTACAATTTGTAAATCAAAAGTCTTTGCCAGTACGCTGTCAACCAAGATGAAACTCTCGATCTCGCTGAACTGTATGGATATCTTTATTCTAATTTTTCGAGTATTTTCACCCTATTGTTAGGCTATTACGATGGCGCCATCAACGGCGTGTGGACATGGGTGGATTGCGGTGCGGATACCGATTTTGCCGACACCAACTGGCAGTTCGGTGCGCCGAATAACCGTGACGACAACCACTGCGCCTACATGAATCTAACCGATGGGAAATACAATGATGATGCCTGCTTTAATACCAGACGTTATGTCTGCGAAATCACCCGAAAAGGTATTAAGTGTTCATGTTTAATAGTAATTATGATGATGATAATGATAACAACAATCTCACCAAAAACAACGCCAACAACACCAATGATAAAAATTGTATTAATGAAAATACTGTTATTTACTGTTTTTTTTAAATAATTGTGTTTATTTTTATTATTATCAACATTATTTTTATCATAATTATTAACATAAACATTTTCATTAATACTTTTGTTATTGTGTAATTAGTATTTTTCATATCAATATTTTTCTTCTTATTATTATTATAATTACTTTTATTATTGTTGAATATTTACATACCCAAGTGGCTCACATTTGGCACACAAGTTCGATAATATTTCCCCTCCTCCCTTTAAATGTGAAAACTTTTTTAACATTTTTTTCTGAACTTGTCATCAAATAGTGTGAATAATGAGCCCCCTCCTTCCCCTTTTTTACAAAATGCTGGATCCCCTACTGATAAAAAAGTTTGATTCAACCAACAAGCTTTTTAAATTTGTTTTATTTTACATTTCAGATTATGTGGATTCCGACTGTTACCCGTCGAATTTCCAACTCATTTCCATCGACGATGATGAAGTTTCTTTGTCTTTCAACGTTTCTGAATATGCATGCGACGTTGCCGGATATACGGTTAGTCCTGCAATGGGTGTGCTTATGTGTGTGTGTGCGTGCGTGTGTGTGGGTGGGTGAGTATGTTTGTGTGATAGAGGGTGAGTATGTTTGTGTGATGGAGGGGGCAGGGAGGGGGCAGGATTGTTTCAGTAAAATTACCTCCAGATTTGTTTAAGTTTTTTTTTTGTAATATATAAGTGAATAACATTTACAATTGACATATTATGTTTAGGTACTTATACGTTTACTTTGTTGCTAAGTTATATTATACTGCAAATGAGTTTGTGTTTAATTATGTTTATGTAAAAGCATCAATATTGAACACATTTATTTTATTCAATTGTATGTTATGGTTTGTATTACACATTTGGAGAAATGAAAAAAAATTGTTAAAAAAAAGTTTTAAAAAAGTGTGTGTGTGGTGGTGTGTGTGCGTGCGTGTGTGTGGTGGTGGTGTGTGTGCGTGTGTGTGAGTGTGTGTGCGTGTGTGTATATGTGTGTGCGTGCGTAATTTAACAGTAGTTTATGTATGGATAAAGATTTTGTTGAAGAGATGAATAAGGAAATACAGGAATTAAAAGCTGAATGGTCATTACAGATTTTGAATAAATTAGTATTTTGGGATTTTTTAAAGATGAAAATGAGAGAATTTATTATAACATACTCGCGGAAAAAGGCAAAAGCAAGGAGGGTTGAAATAGAACTGTTAGAGAAACAAATCAAGGATTTAGAAGGCGAACTGGTAGTGGGACCCACTAAATATATTGTTGATTGCATTGAGGAGAAAAGGGATAAACTAAATAAATTGTATGATTTTTCTCGACAGGGCATTAAAATAAGATCAAGAGCACCTTGGTTTGAAGATGGAGAAAACAATACGCAATATTTTGAACAGTTGTTAAAATCGAATAAAAGGAAAAGTGTAATTAGGGAGGTGTACAAAGAAAATGGGGAAACTACTAGAGATAAGGAGGAAATTTTAAAGGAAATTAAACTATTTTATAAAGATTTATATTCTTTAAGGGCTGATATAAATGAAAACGACCCTTTCTTTTTCAATGATATTTCAAAGTTAAATGAAGACAATAGGGAAATCTGTGAAGGTAAATTAACTAAAGATGAATGCTTGAAAGTTTTAAAAGAAATGAAATTGAATAAAACCCCGGGAAATGATGGGTTAACAGTTGAATTTTATTATACTTTTTGGCCAGCTTTGGGTGATTTGTTAGTAGAAGTATTGAATGAAACATACGAAAGGGGGGAATTAACGGCATCTCAAAAACAAGGGGTAATTACCTTAATTGAGAAGGAAGCGAAAGATACTCTCCATATAAAAAATTATCGACCCATTACGCTTTTGAATGTAGATTATAAAATTGTATCTAAAGTTCTAGCAAAAAGAATGAAAGAGGTTTTAAATGAAATAATTCATCATGATCAAGTTGGATATATAAAAGATAGAAATATTGGGGAAGCTGTACGATTGATAGATGACATGTTATTTTATTCTATGCATTATGGGGAACAAGGGAAAGGGTTTTTGTGTGCAGTGGATTTTGAGAAAGCTTTCGACTCTGTATCTCATAGATATTTATTTCAAATATTGAAATTGTTCGGTTTTGGAGATTCATTTTGCTCTTGGGTAAAATTATTGTATAAAGGGATAAGTAGTTGTGTTATGAACGGTGGTCACTCCACGGGGTATTTTGAAATAGAAAGGGGAGTAAGGCAAGGGGATCCATTATCGCCATATTTGTTTTTGGTTGCCATCGAAATTTTGGCGCATGCAGTAAGGAGGGACAACGGTATTAAAGGGATTACATTTGGAAAATCTGAAATTAGGCAAGTGTTATATGCAGATGATATGACAATATTTTTGAAGGATATTGATTCGGTTAGAAGGTTGCAATATATTTTTGAATCATTTGAAAAAATTAGTGGTCTTAAAGTGAATAAAACAAAGACACATTTTATGTGGATGGGTGAGGATGAGAACAAACCTGATGGGCCTTTATTTGGAAATTTGGTGAAGGAAATACATATTTTAGGGGTTAGTTATTCATTAGATCGAAGATTAAAAGATGATTTGAATTATAAAGAAATTCTAAGTAAAATAAAAAAATTGCTTGTATGGTGGAAACAAAGAGATTTAACTATTATGGGTAAAATACATTTGCTAAAAACTTATGCGCTTTCAAATTAAATTATATTTCATCTCTCGTTATTGTCCCTCATTGGGTATATAAAGAAGTTGCAAAAATTTCATTTGAATTCATATGGAGGGGGAAAGATAGAATTAAACGGGCAATAATGTATCAGGATTATGACTTTGGAGGATTAAGAATGATTAATTTTGAAATGTCCGTAAAAATACAGCGCATAATGTGGATAAAACGTCTTTTATATGGATAGAAAAGTTTGGGATGGAAATTGTTTTTTGATCATTGCTTACAGTTTGTGGGTGGTAGATTTATTTTTTTATGTGATTATGATTTAAACAAGATTAAACTCGTTTTAGATATTCCACCATACTATATGGAAATGTTGCAAGCATGGCAAGAGACAAGTAATTTAAGATATTTGGAGGGTTATATTAATCCAATTATTTTTAATAATCAGAATATATGTATAAATGGAAAAAGTATATTTGATAGATACTTGTTTGAAAGAGGGATTGTTCAACTGAATCATTTGGTTGAGAAAGGTCATGTTAAGCCTGTTAAATATTTTATGAACCTCGGTATGAAAGGTAATAATTTGCTTATGATTATTGATATTTATGATGCGATACCCAGGTTATGGAAGGATGATTCAGGGTTAATAGAATTCCTCGAGGTTGATTTGATAAGCTTTAATACTTATTTCCATATTTCTAGTAAAAAAATACAGTTTGTGGATGTGGGTTCAAGAACAATCTATGATTATTTCATCAAAGCACTGCAACGAACGTATGATTTGCAGGTAAGGGATGGGCAAAATGATTATGATTTTATAGATAAAGAAATAAAAGAAATATTTGTTAGACCAAGAATTACTATACTCATTAGAAAACAACGTGAATTTCAATTTAAATTATTGCATGGAGCCATATACACTAATGAGCATCTTCATAGATTTGGTTTTGTTGGTGATAATTTATGTTCGTTTTGTAAGCAGGAAATAGAAACATACAAACATTTATTTTTATCTTGTGGGAGCGTTCAAAGGTTATGGCAGGCTTTAATACAACTTTTTGAGTTAGATGAAATTAAAGATTTAGAATGGCGAGATATATTTGTTGGGTTGGTAGGTAGTTCATATAGAATAAAAATGTGTAATACTATCATTTTCATGGTGAAGTATGTTACATTTATGTCAAGATCGGGGGGGGGGGGGGCGAGTACTAACTTTAGAAAAGATGAAAAAAAGCAGTTTTAGGTATAGGGATGAGGAAAAGAAAATAGCAATTAAAATGGGAAAGCTAGGATCACATTTTTTAAAGTGGGAGCAGCTTAAGATTAATTAAGATTTGCTTTCTTCTCCACCGTGAGCTTGTTAAAAGCGTAACTCGATTTTGCGGCCTGGATAACTTATTTAGTATATTTTTCTTAAGTTGAGAATGTTGGCAGACATCCACTGAGTGAGTATTGTGTGTGTGTGGGGGGGGGGTGGGTGGGTGGGTGGGTGAGTATGTGTGTGAGTTGGTGAGTATGTTTGTGTGATAGAGGGTGAGTATGTCTGTGTGATGGAGGGGGCAGGGAGGGGGCAGGGAGGGGGCAGGATTGTTTCAGTAAAATTATCTCCAGATTTTTTTTGTTTTTTGTAATATATAAGTAAATAACATTTACAATTGACATATTATGTTTAGGTACTTATACGTTTACTTTGTTGCTTAGTTATATGATACTGCAAATAAGTTTGTGTTTAATTATGTTTATGTAAAAGCATCAATATTGAACATGTTTATTTTATTCAATTGTATGTCATGGTTTGTATTACACATCTGCAGAAATAAAACAAAATTGTTAAAATAAAAAAAGTAATGTTAGTGGGTATGGATAGGCGAATGGGTGCGCGCGTGTTTTGTTTGTTTAATTTCGTTTTTACAGACGTGTTTCAAATCAGATATTATTCACGTCTGGCGGCCGACCTTATAATATGCACCACCATCTGAAACTCGTGACTTAGTTTTGAACCGGGGTCCCTCAGGGTCTGTTAGTAGGTGAACCGCTAGACCAAGTCACCAACTCACATCCCCCGAGGGACACTGCCATTTTCAATGCAAGACAAGCTTTGACCGGTTAATATTTTTTTGGTATGGTATGCAAAAATCCCAGCTACGCCGCTGTGCTTTTGCTTGTAACAGATTTGTTGTGGTGTGACTTGAAGCAGGGAGGTGAAAGAAAAGGAGACGAAACTCTTGTAATTTATTCAAACGCATTCTTGAGTTCTAAAGCATAACAATGGGATGTGTAACATTCCACTTGGCTTTGAAGTTCCATGCTCCGAACCGCGCTTCCACTGCGAAGACTTTCGGAAGCCTGGCACCAGTTTTACATGTATTACAAAATATTAAATTACCGGCAAAATTTCAGTGTAAATCAAAAACTTTATATGGGGATTTTATTGGGAATAGTACATCAAACAAATTTTCAAATTTAGAACTCCATCCTTCCTTTCATTTGTGTGCCAGAGTTGGTAAAAGAAAAATTACATCTTGTCAAAAACTCAATATTTTAGGATGATGCGCTAATTTGTGCATGCTTTAATGTCCCGTTATTTGATCCATGATTTACAATCTTCAACAACATTAAGTTTGCTAATGCGTGTTTTCGCGTGTTTTTTTGTATTTTTCAAGTTTAAAAAAGGATGAAATTACACAAGTTTGTGTTCGCTTGTTCTACTCTTTACACATTCAACAATGGATGAGAAATCATTGGAAGGGACAGCGAACAGTTGCTGTGATACCATTTTCTGATGTAGGAATTCTAAATCCTGAAATGTCATGCGCTCTCTTATCTCACCACCAACAGTTGAAGATTAGCGCATAACTTTTCGGCGGCTTGGAGCATGGGGTCAAAGGAGAGCGGCTTGATTCCAGTCCTTCTCTATCACGTCCCTGCTTGAAGCCATGTATAAGTTTTCATACACACACACACACACACACACACACACCACATTACGTCTAAAAACAACCGTGGACGTCCTCGGTTGATATGTGTCCACGGTTTAAAGGTACTATGTCCCATTTGCAGGCCAAAAAAATGAAAAAGTTAAATTCCAACTGCATTTGAAAGATAATACTAACTTAGAACTTCCCTAAAAAAAGGTGGGGCTTGAAAATGTCTTTATGTGGGAAAATAACGACTATTAGTTGTCAAATCGACTTTAGGGCTATAGAGCCCAAAAGTAATAGTCTTTATTTTCAGACAATTGTACCGAATGGTCGTACGTTTTATGCTGCACAAAGATTCAATCAGTTTAATCTTGGCCATCACAAGAAGTGGGTTATTGATGTAGATAAATGCTCATGTACCCTTTACAACTCTTTGCATGTATGTTATTACCCAAGAAGATAAAAAGCCAGTCAGTCACTCGATAGTGTCTGACAGTGAAGTCTAGCAAGTAAACGGGTTTCCTTGCATAATTTGAATATGAGGACAATGTTAACGTTTAAATTTCACAGATAGGACATACATGACATATTCATAATTCCTGCAAAGTTCTACAGAATTTGAGGTTGGCTGCAAAAGGGACATAGCACCTTTAAAGGTGTGTATTCTCATATTAGTCCATGGTCAGGGTACTTCACACGCGCGCACACACACACCCTCACGAACATACGCATGCACACACACAACCCCTAAAAAAGAGAAATTACTTGTATTTTAATCCTTTTAAATAGATCCGTTACAATACCACAGCCGAAGGCGATTTTATCGCAATCGATCTCGTAGGGGCGCTTAACACTGACGTCGTTATTAGCGGTCTCTCTCCCGCTACTACCTACCTGTTTGAACTGACGACCTGCACGGTCAGCTATGGGTGCTACGGATTCAGCACCGCTCTGTCTGTGCTTGGTACAAGTAAGTCATGCCAGTTTTGATCTGGTTGTTTCTAGTGCTTCAGTCACACCTTCGTGTATTTGGTTTGCGTATTGCCGCTTATTTATGGCAAGCCGTTCTAACATTCATTACTATTTCTTGATATCAAAAACTGATTTTTTTTTTTTTTTTTTTCTTTTTTTTTTTTCTTTTTTTTTTATTGTAAAGCAGTGGTAATTCTTGATATCAAGAATTGAAATTTTGATATTAGGAATTCGATTTCTTGATATAAAGAAAATAGGAATAAATGTTAAAACGGCTTGCCATAAATATGCAGCAATACGCAAGCCAATACGCAAAGATGTTACTGAGGCATAACCGGGCGTATCTAGGGTTTGTAAAAAAGGTAGTGCACAACCTTCCTAAAATTCAAAATTTGCTGATAAGCAAGTAAAGAATAAGGTAATTTAGTTCTTCTAAGTAAATATCTGAGAAGCATTAAAAAGTCATCCACCACGTCTCTCTGGACATTTTATTAATTTGAAGAAAAGAAGGTTGATATAATTGGTATGTTTGAAAATATCTAACACAGGATCAGCGCCCTTCTGAAAATATGTCCATTGGGTTTTAAAGGGGTAAGGGGAGTCTGGTTTTCCAAATTATCACGATTGGGTTACACTGATGTCAAGGCAGAAACGGTTCCCTAAGCAGGTTTGGTGACAGGACCAAATCTGCCAAGGGAACCTATCCGACAGGACATGTGTAAACATTTTATCAATGATATCGATTTTGTTTTTCTTTGCGCTGATACAAAAGTGCCTTAGCGCTAACAAAATTACAAAATATGACAAGAAATATATACATTATACTATTGAGGGGAGAAGTATGGTTTATTGGATCTTTTGAAAGTGGCACATCTTTATAACTGCATTTCATTCTTCAACTCACACTAGCCACTTGTCCCGACAACTACGAGCTTGGTCCCAACGGCCATTGCTACCGCTTCAGAGACCTCGACCTCGGCTCCTGGTGGTCGACCGGAAGACGAACATGCGACAACGTGGCCGACTCCGATCTCGTCATCGTCAATGACCAGGCTGAACTTGATTTCCTAACAATGAGGTCGGCGGAGATCAACCCCAACATGACGTGGTGGGTCGGTAAGTTAAGATGGCTTGTAATGCCCGTTGTGCACGATGCGTCATTGGACTGACGCATGATTGCGCCAATTGTATGGCACAAGGCTGCGTCAGCCCGGCGTCAACGACTGATTTGACGCGGGGCACGAGAATAATGATTACTGTACATTATGCACATGTAAAATGAATGGTGCATAGTAATGCTGCAGGCCGCTTACGGTGATATGATTTCATAAATTTCAAATGTTTGCCGTAAATTTGAAACCGGCCGTCCTCAAGTTGTAAGATTTTTTTTTTTTTTTTTTTTTTTTTTTTGGGGGGGGGGGGGGTAAGATGTGCAAAATTGCCAAAGGTTTAAGAATAGTGTAACTTTACACGTTATTGTCTCAAAACTGTATTTGTTACTAACAGGTTCATTCACATTATTTGCTCATCCATTTTTTGTCACCGCGTGAGTGCAGTGAAAATTATGCAAAGCGAACAAACCCAAATAATGTGTAAAAGAGAAATATTACCATTATCGAAAATAATATCGCAAGTGACATTCGTTTGTCTCGCAATTTTAGTCAACAAGGGATCAAAAGATACTATATCCGCAATGAGTAGCATTACTCAGTAGTCTCGTAGTTGTATTATACTGTCTTGTCAATGTATAAAGCATTACACTTTGGACAACTGGGTAATAGTTAAGCAGAAATCGCACCTCTTTGTTTCAAATCGTCTTTTTAATACAGGCTATTCGGATCAGTCCGTAGAGGGCGAATGGCGCTGGGTCGATTGCACAGAATCGACCGATTGGCAGAACGATCTCTGGGAGGCCGGTTCCCCTGGCAACGGTCGTCTGGACTGCGCGGCTCTCCAACCCACCGGTGATCTTGTATCTCTCGTTTGTGACAAAGCACTAAGTTACATATGCGAAATATCTCCAAAAGGTATGGTGTTTTTATGTTCAATTCATGCTGATTTCAAAGTTGTTTCGCTTGTAATATGTATAATTCGAGCCGGAAGAGACAAATGATATTATGATCTTTTTACGTACTTATTACTGCTCATTAATATGCATATATTTGACATAAGAGATTCCAATGCGAGCTCAGCTTTGGGGTCTTCGACTTCCTCATTTCCCCCTCCTCCTCTTCCAACCCCCTCCCCCTCCTCCTCTTCCAACCCCCTCCCCCTACCTCTCCTCCTCATCTCTCTTCATCCCTTTTTCCTTCTTTTTCTCCTTCTTTTTTTCTTCTTTTATCTTCTTCTTTCCAATATAAATTCCGCAAAATATGAATGATTTCAATCAACATGTTATGCCTTTTAAAATAACTTTTACAAAATATTTTCATAGATGCTAACGGCTTTCCATAATTGTTAAGTCCAACTTAGAGTTAAGTTCAACTTAGGATCTTTGTGAAACACCCTCCTGATAATATCATGACCGTTTATTTTTAAAGATTTCCAACTCCAGGACGCTAACCCAAGTGATCTTGCCGTCGTCGCTACACAAACAAGCATGCTGGTCACGTGGACACAATCAGAGACAAGCTGTGACGTAGTCGGTTACAGAGTTCAGTATTGGCTGGCTGATGAAGACAACGCTGACGTCAGTTCCGGTAAGTATCAGGTGACCACGGTCGAAAAACGAAAAATTAGAGTTTCGAGTTTTATATATTGGAAAATCTACCGAAAAGTAATCATTTGCCTGGCCCAACTTATAAATTTGTGTTCTCTTTGAGATATTTGTTATCACATAGTCGAAAACAAAACAAAATTGATGAAAGTACTCTTTTTTTTTTTCCAAAACAGAAAATTTGATTTTATTACCCTATTAGTACCAAGTGTGATTTAAATGCATTTTGATTTTTGTTTCAAATATTTTAAATTTGAAATGAAATTCTAATTATAAAAAACAAACAAAGATACGCAAACAGAATAAAGAAACAGTACAAATCGATAACACGAGGGAGAAAGGTGACGACAGAGGGAATGAAAAAAGGGAAAAGAAATGTGAGAAAGAGAAAAAGAAAGATGGGGGTTTTCGGGAGTAGAAAAATGGCGGTGTCTACTAAGATTGTCATTATTTATATGAACCTTCGGACAATTTAGCCCCGCTGATGAAAAAAAAAGCATTGACTTTGTAAAAAAATTACATTGAGGTTAAACCAAAGTCAATTGTCAATTTGGTTCTGCCTTTCTTTGAATAAAAGGTCTAGTAACTTTAGCAGGATCCTGTTTTGTTATCGCCTGCCCTGATTTAGGACAAAGTCAATCGAGCCGCTAATCAATTATTTGTTAATTGCTTATCTGTTTACAGTTGATAATGTTGATTCTACCTAAAAACCAAAGTCCATCTTTCCATCACTGGTCCATAAATAAAAATAAAATCTCGTTAATCAGTGATTTCACAAGTTATATTACCGGGGCATTGTATACCTCAGGAGTGTTTCACAAAGACTAAGATCGACTTTAAGTTGGACTTTACTATGGCAGGACGTTCATGCCACTAGTTCCTCTAACCATTCCTGGCATTGGTCTCTCAAGGGACGTGCGAATCGTGGTCACAAATCTACAGAATTTACCTTTTTTTGATAGTTCATTATTGCAGGAAAAAACATTATCTAAATATCATAATTGAGAGACCGTTGGTGACAGCGACCAGTGGCATGAAAGGCCTGTCATAGTTAAGTCCAACTTAAAGTCGATCTTAGTCTTTGTGAAACACCCCTGGACTAGTTTTAGACCAGGAAAATAGAGAAAACAACAGAAAAGGGAACATTGACCCTGTTTCAAAAAACTTGTTATCCATAGCAAGTTTCAATAACTGTGATAAGCTACTGAAATCGTGGCATTTCATTGGCTGAGAGCAAGTTTGTCATAGAAATGTAAGCAATTGTTATTGATAACAAGTTTGATGAAACAGGGAAAATACGTGAAGATGTAATATCGAACTAAATAAAAAATCTTTCACATGAGGTGTCGATATTGTTTTCTATTTCGTAACATCAAGTAGGCATTTAAAACATGTTGCATAACAGATCTGTTCAGATGAATATTAGACTGTTAAGTTATCCATAATTCGAATTAAAGTTGAGTCTGGCCATGCGATTGCATTGTGAAAGATACGGTGTGGAGTCGATCAGAACAAGTTGATCATTTATCATATAAGTATTGGTGTGTACTGCAACGTTTTGGAGTCATTAACATGATAAGAAATCTGGCGCAGTCTTGCAAAGTAACACGCACTGTACACAAAAAGATGTATATGGGACTCAATCATGTGGCATAAAAATGGGGCCTCATGTATAAGCTGTTTCTTGTCATATTTAGAATATGAAGGTATTTGAAGAGCCATGCTTTTCAGGGAAAATTGTATATCTGATGATCTTTCACACTTGCATATTAACAACAATCATAACGCTCACAAATTATTGTTCACCTCTCCCCGGAACTTTACCTTCTCTTTAATTTTAAATTTTAAAGTGTTCTGGAAATTGACGAAATTCAAGAGTGGCGAATGTTTAATAATCAAGCAATATTTTGCAGGCCCCATATGTGGAACCCCAAATTAATGGTTGGGCACATTCGTCTTTTGTATATTCTTAAGGTACGTATGACAGATTGGATTTTGTCGGGGGCAGGGCTAGGGCACTTTGACGCCAACGCTAAGGGATTAGTACTTTAACCTTCACAATTACCATAACAAATCGTAATTTACTTAATTTATTAATACGGACATTAACGGCGTTCGATTTGACCTATTTCTTGTTTGTTCTTTGTAACAGGGAGTTGGTTGTTCGTTGGTTAATTTCTAATTAATTCAATCAGTTACTCAATCAATTTTATTTATCCATTCCTTTAGAACTCGTATACGGAGGTAATGCAAACAGCGCCTCCATCGAGGATTTATTGCCAGACCGCATGTACAACGTGAACGTGGCGGCTCTCCTCAGTCAGGATTATGAGCTGTCCCCTATTGGACCCGTGACAGTCAAAACAGGTTTGGAGGATTTTCAGTAATAATGATAACTTTATTTTTTTATTTTTTTTAAATATAGATAATTTCCATCATTCACAGGTGTAGCAAATAAATGTCAAATAAACATTCAACAAATGTACATACAACTCATATGAAAAAAAAATCAACATCATTATAGTTTAGTGCATTTTAAAATAACATTTCAAATTATATTGAATAAACATGATCAACAACGTCGCCAACAACAACAACAACAACAAAAACAATGATAATAATTATAATAATAATGAGTCTAATAGGCATAATGATAATAATAGCAATAATAATCGCAATAGTTATAATATCAACACTAACAAGATTGATAATAATATATAAACGATAATAATGATATGGCATATTTGATAATAACTATGATTCTAATGATTATTATTATTAGAAGAAGAATGATAAGAACAGTAAATTTAATGATGATAATGATAAAAGTTATAATGAACAAAAATTATAATATTAATAATAATAATGATACTACTATACTACTACTACTACTACTAATAATAATAATATTACAACAACAATACTGATTATAGTATTTAAAAAAAAAAAAAAATATATATATATATATATATATATATTATTATTATTATGTTTGTTTACCCAGCATGCCCAGGGTAGCCTTGGACACTGACCTTCCAATGACCTTTAATGGCATGTTTCAAATAATTTCGTATACTGTTCATAAATACCCTGGCCACCCGAATTTCTACAAAATAATGTGCATTTGAACTACCCCAAAACAGCCAGGGACCCGTTTCACAAAGCCTTTTTTCAATGACAAATGACAAAATTGAGTGACAAATCTGTTGATAACCAATCAGAAGCAAGGATTTCAGTAGCTTATAAACACAAACTGTCATTTGTCACTGATGACAAGTTTTTTTAAACGTCCCCCTGTTCTCCCTGGAAGCCCTGCAATCAGTACGAGTTTAGAGGGGACTGATCTAGATGTGTGTGAGATTTGAGGAGGTGGGGCACACGTACAATTACCCCTACCCCAAATCTAAAGCTTTATTTGTAGTAAGTTAAAAGCATTGCTCTTGTTGTTGTAATGTTTTGAAAGAAAATTATGCCCTTTCTCATATATCATTGAAATTGGAATATACGTATTGCATGTGACGTCTTGACTTTAAAGTATGTTGACGCCCTTCAAAGTAATACCACTGGCAATTACTTATTATTTGTTCACATCCCCTGTAGTTGCTGCTATCATCCTCGAATGCTCGCCCACCAGCATGTCAGTGCGAGTTCCTCTGGAGCGTCTCGGCGGTGCGACCGTCGGGACTGACCTCCAGCTCATGAACGATGAAAATTGCCAGGGGGTTATCTCCACAGATGGAATGGCCATTGTTATCTCCACCAATCTGACGTCATGTAACAATGATAGGAGTGTAAGTTGGAAAAAAGAAAGAAAGAATTTCATAGTGTGCTCACATTACCCACCTTTATGTATACAGCTGTACTCATCTACTTTGTCTTCAATACCGGAAGAATTGTGTACACTGTGAACACTCTGTTTATAATCGCATTTACACTGTTTTTATACTGTGGACAGTCTCTTCATACTGTGTTCCCACTGTTTTACATTGTAAACACACTTTACGTGGTGTTCACATTGACTTTGTTCACAGCGAATCCTTTGTCCATACCGTGCTCACATTGTTTTTTAATCTGAACACTCTATTCATACTGTGTTCACATTTTTTTTTAAAACTGAATACTCTTTTATTGCTGTGTTTACACTGTTTTAACACTTAATTTAGTACTGTAATCTCACTGTGGTCGCGGTCTAGCTCGTGACACACTGTGACAAACTGTAGATAATTATCACACTGTGACAATGCAGTTAAAGGTAATACAAAGTTTTGGGAAATTTTGAAAATTGGCTGGATAGTGATTCTGTACAATTTTGATGTATTGGATGCCCCTGTGGATGTATTATAAGCACTAGAAAATTTAGCCCCTCAAACACTTCTGCTTTTGAGTAAAATTGAATATAAAAATTTACCGGTGCTCCCGGTAAATTTTGAAAATGTTCAAATAGCGCTTACGGCCATACAACAATAGCTGCGACCATGAAAATCTCAGAATATGTAGTTGTGATATATATTTCCCAAACGGAAAAAGCCAATTGGTCCATTTAAGTCAAGAAACGTTGTTTTATGGCTTAATTAATATCTTGACCTTGAAAGGGAGCTATACAGCATAAAGGGTTTATTATTTATAATTTCATAACTTAAGACTCGATTTCAACCGCGAAAACGAACATTGACTTTTATAGGATAGCATATGCTTCCAATATTTTTATTCGAACCAAGTTCATGACCCCATACCAAAACTTTTTATTACCTTTAATAAACTTTTGTAGATTTAGGTGTGTGATGTCTGTTTGTTCACAGTGTTCTGAAATTGAATATATTAAACACCGTTATCAAATTGTAGGACAAGCAGTTCTTTTCGATTGGGTTACATGGTGCGGAGGATGACAAAATCCATTTATATTATACAGATATTGATTGGCAGGGGGTGTAATATAGCATTCTTTGGACCGCTGAAGGGAGTAATATTTTCCCTCATGACCATATTTTCCAGAAGCGCGCATATATCAGATAGCCTTGGTAAAAATATTTAAGGGGGGGGGGTCTATTTTTTCATTTTTTATTTTTGAAAAATTCCCCTTTTTTTCAGAGACAACAACATTTGCAAAAAAATTGTGAGAAACAAAAAATACTTCGAGATAATTAGGGAAAAAATAATTTCAACGGAAAAAACAATTGGAAAAATAAAATTCTTAGAAAAAAAGCATTAGGCCTATTGGGAGGAAAAAACAATTTTGAAAACAAATCTTAAAAAGAAAAAAATGGGGGGGGGGGGGAACAAATTTGGAAACAAATTAAGACTATGGGGAAAAACATTGACCCTCGGTATTGGTGTAATTTGTGTAATTGGTGACATACAGCCCTCAAGAGGGCGACATGCATTGATTAAAAATATATTCATTTCACCAGGTGGCTAATATAACGGTAACCCGACACATGCTCCGCCGACGATTGCTCCGCCGACATTTACTCCGCAAAACGCGACAATTGCTCCGCGACATTTGCTCCGCGACATTTGCTCCGACGTCAAATGCTCCGCCGACAGTTGCTCCGCCGACAGTTGCTCCGCCGACAGTTGCTCCGCCGACAATTGCTCCGCCGACAGATGCTCCGCCGACAATTGCTCCGCCGACAATTGCTCCGCCGACAATTGCTCCGCCGTCAATTGCTCCGCAAAACGCGACAATTGCTCCGCCGACATTTGCTCCGCCGACATTTGCTCCGCCTGAAGCGACACTTGCTCCGCCGACATTTGCTCCGCCTGAAGCGACACTTGCTCCGCCGACATTTGCTCCGCCGACAATTGCTCCGCCGACAATTGCTCCGCCTGAAGCGACAATTGCTCCGCCGACGTTTGCTCCGCCTGAAGCGACAATTGCTCCGCCGACATTTGCTCCGCCGACAATTGCTCCGCCGACAATTGCTCCGCCTGAAGCGACAATTGCTCCACCGACATTTGCTCCGCCGACAATTGCTCCGCCGACAATTGCTCCGCCTGAAGCGACAATTGCTCCGCCGACATTTGCTCCGACGACATTTGCTCCGCCCAAAAAGTGTCCCATAAACTACAAATGCTACTAGTACTACGACAAATGCTTCGCCGATAATATTTTCTTTACACCTATTTTTTTCGTTTCTTTTTTTCTTCTTCATTTTCTGAATGCATTTCTTGAAATAATGTAGATGAAATGAAATGAATGAATGTTGATGAAGTGGGAGGAAAAAGGAGTTACCTAAAAGTCATTTCGAATATATACTGAAATAACTTTCCATCTATCACTGTACGTCCCATATAATGTATACTAAACACTCATTACATGTCGTGGGAAGTTTTTAAAAAAAAGTAGAGCAGCAAGCCACATTCCCCAATACGCGCATACCTCCTAGTTAATTTCAAGTAGCTCATCAATATGTAATACCTGAAATTACCTCGATCAATGCATCTTACTAGGTAAAGCATTATACAATGTAATAGGTCATCATGGAAGTTTAGAAAATAAGTAAGGGGGATTTACCAAGTGTTGATCTTTTTAAGAGTTTTATAAAGAAACAAAAAGATATTGAATATTTCTCAGCGAAAAAAAGGAACAAGCTTGTTTCGCATTTTAAGAAATGGCGATTTGACTTATGATACTCATGTTGATTTAACTTTTATTCCTGTGCCCCCTCACTCCCCTTTATGCACTGGAGTTCAAACTATGATTTATAAGTGTACAGTGTATTTTTTTTACTATAATGTTTTTTTTTTTATAACTTTCTTGTCCTTTCATTATTGTTAGTTGTTCTTATACATATTGGTTTTTTTTGTCTGTCTAATTATTACCAATGACTTGTAAATATGTAATTTTTATATGATTGAAAATTTAATAAACACACGAATATAAAAAAAAAAAAAGTTTAGAAAATAAGGGCATTTATATTCATAAGGAAGAGAACCCATTCAGACGGGAAAATGAGATGGCAGCCTTTTTGCTTATTCACATTTGTACAAATCATTTTGTTGCAGTTTGATGTTAGTTCTTCATGATAAGCCAATTGCTCTTCTTCCGGTGGCTTCGTGAGTCCCTTAAATTATTTAGTGAAAACAAAGTACTCGAATGAAACGGAGTGTTTTGCACACTAACATATATATATATATTAAAGCTACATACACTTAACTAAAGGAAAGAAACCTTTAGAAAATGGACTGGATATTACTGAAAATATTATTCTAAACAAGAATGTACTACATGATTGTATTATTTTACGTTTCAATTTCACGAGAGAAATAGAACTCGAGAGGGGGAGCAGAGAAGAAGTGATGGAAATGAAAGAAGACTAATAGCATGAGAGGAAAGAAAAGAGCAAAGAAGACAAGAAAACGGTGTAAACAGGAAAAGGAGGAGCATGGGAGAGAGAGAAAGAGAGAGAGAGAGAGAGAGAGAGAGATAGCCTTGAGCTTTGGATCAGCTAATGAGTAATACATGAAACAGATTTTGAGCGGAGTAATTATCTTTCGCCGGAGAACTTGCGTAAGGAGCTATAATTTTATTTTTTATTTTTTTAAATCAAACATTATGGGGAATAGCAAAAAACGGTTGTCTTTTTTGCTCTTTTCTTTCCTCTCATGTTATTAGTCTTCTTTCATTGAGGTAATTTCAGGTCTTACATATTGATGAGCTGTTTGAAATTAACTAGGAGGTATGCGCGTATTGGGGAATGTGGCTTGCTGCTCTACTTTAAAAAAAAAAAACTTCCCATGACATGTAATGAGTGTTTAGTGTACATTATGTGGGACGTACAGTGATAGATGGAAAGTTATTTCAGTATATTCGAAATGACTTTTAGGCAACTGCTTTTTCCTCCCACATTATCAACATTCATTCATTTCATTTCATTTACATAATGTCATGAAATGCATTCAAAAAATGAAGAAAAAAAGAAAGAAACAAAAACAACCCGTGAAAAAAATATTGTCGGCGAAGCATTTGTCGTAGTACTAGTAGCATTTGTATTTAATGGGACACTTTTTGGGCGGAGCAAATGTCGTCGGAGCAAATGTCACCGGAGCAAGTGTCGCTTCATGCGGAGCAAATGTCGTCGGAGCAATTGTCGGCGGAGCAAATGTCACCGGAGCAATTGTCGCTTCAGGCGGAGCAATTGTCGGCGGAGCAATTGTCGCTTCAGGCGGAGCAATTGTCGGCGGAGCAATTGTCGACGGAGCAATTGTCGGCGGAGCAATTGTCGGCGGAGCAAATGTCGTCGGAGCAATTGTCGGCGGAGCATATGTCACCGGAGCAATTGTCGCTTCAGGCGGAACAATTGTCGGCGGAGCAATTGACGGCGGAGCAAATGTCGGCGGAGCAAATGTCGGCGGAGCAAATGTCGGCGGAGCAAGTGTCGCTTCAGGCGGAGCAAATGTCGGCGGAGCAATTGTCACGTTTTGCGGAGCAATTGACGGCGGAGCAATTGTCGGCGGAGCAATTGTCGGAGGAGCAATTGTCGGCGGAGCATCTGTCGGCGGAGCAATTGTCGGCGGAGCAACTGTCGGCGGAGCAACTGTCGGCGGAGCACCTGTCGGCGGAGCATTTGACGTCGGAGCAAATGTCGCGGAGCAAATGTCGCGGAGCAATTGTCGCGTTTTGCGGAGTAAATGTCGGCGGAGCAATCGTCGGCGGAGCATGTGTCATGGAACCAATATAACACTGGAAAGTGACCAGCCAGGAAAATATAACAATTACGACCCTCGCAATTGATATCACGTGACGAGCTCTGGACCAATCACATATCGTTATCTGTCTAAGCTTTCTATATATATATATAGAAACAATCTGTACAAACATGCATTTCTAGTTTGTATTTTTTTCTTTGGGGGAGGGGGGGGGGGGGGGTAAAACTACCGGAAGATTCCATCTTCGAGTATTTCAGCAATACTGTGGTCGAGTAGCATGGCAATATGTAAACATTCACATTCATGTGAAAGATGACAGATTCATTCGTTCATTAATAATCTAGAAACATAATTAACATAAAAATGTCCAAAGCTCTTTGGAAACGCATAGAGACTTTATAACACAATGTGTTATGCGGTATACAAGAACGGATTATCATCATTATTATAAATATACTTTTATTCTTTCTTCCTTCTATATCTAAAACTCAGGAAAAGGTCCCAGTTTTGAGAATAATTACAGGTCTCTCTCTCTTTCTCTCTCTCTCTGACTCTTTAAAACTTACAGAAAGATTCCAGTTTCGAGTATTACAGCAATACTGTAGACATTCATGTGAAAGATAATAAATTCATTCTTTATCAATCTAGATACAATTTAAATATACGTCTATACTCTTAATTTTATTCTTTCTCCTATTTGTTAAACTTACTGAAAGATCCCAATGTTGAAAATTATTACAGATCTCTCTTTTTTTTTCTCTCTCTCTCTCTCTCTTTCTCTTTTCTCTCTCTTTCTCTCTCTTTCTCTCTATCTCTCTCTCTCTCTATTTCTCTCTCTCTCTCTCACTCTCTTTAAAACTTACAGGAAGATGCCACTTTCGAGTTTTACAGCAACACAGTGACCGAGCGAGAGTATGGTGTCGTAACCCGTGTTTCTGATGTGTACATCCCATTCACCTGTACTTACAACCGAACTGGACGGGTGGGACTACGCTCATACGAGCTCAAGAACTACCGCCTCAACGTGACGGAGGAATCCAGCGGCCAATATGATTTCGCTTTGGATATCTACAGGTAAAACGGCGCAAAAAAAGCGGCCAATATGATTTCGCTTTGGATATCTACAGGTAAAAAGGCGCAAAAAAGCGACCAATATGATTTCGCTTTGGATATTTACAGGTAAAATGGCGCAATTTTTCGAATCCTGAATTTTTACAACTTCCCCCTCCGATTTAGGCGTGACCGCTACAAATTAAAAAAAAACACCTAGAAATATACTGTTATTCTTTCTTCCTTGTACTATCTAGAGGTGAAATGGCGCAATTTTTCAAATCCTGAATTTTGGCAACATACCCCTCCGATCTAGGATTAGGGATGACCGCTAGAAATTTAAACAAAATAACACCTCTGAAATATTGTATATTATGATAGAATCTTTCGAAGAAACAAGGGATGCCTTCATTATGAAGTAGTGGCAACCAACGCCAAAACCAAGCATGATATTTGACTTGGGCTTTTCGCTTAAACTTTCTCTAATTGTCAATTGCCTTCAATTCAATAATTCATGGAAATGCGTGCATGCTTTCGTAAAAAAGAGGACACTTTTTTTTTTTTTTTTTTTGGTCTCGAAATTTGAAAATTTGACATTTTGTTCCGTTGAGGGGGGGGGGGAGGGGGTAAGGCTTTACCTTTTTTAGGTCATCCGTTGGCATAATTTTTTATTTATTTTTATTTTTTAATAAAAAAATAATTAAAAAAAAAAAACGCAAAAGGGGGGGGGGGGGGGGTTTCACAAAAACATACAGAAAACATACACAAAAAACTCAAGGGGGTGAGTTTAACCCTAAACCCCCCCCCCCCCCCCTGCGTACGCGCCTGGTTCCTATGTTCATATGTTGAAGCAAGATTGTTCATTGTAAATATAAACAATCATCCTACATTGACACAGTAAAGAAATGAAATGAAATGAAATGTTTTCATAAACCTTAATTGAAATAAATTGAATTGCCTAAACATCGTTTCAGAGATGAGGACTTCGAAGATAAATACCTGGAGGACGATTACCCCGTCGACATGGACCTCAACGACGACCTCTACTTCGGTGCTTCAGTTCCATCTCAGGACGGAACCCTCGACCTGTCAATCACGCGATGCGTGGCCACGCCCTCCAACTCATACAATGACGATCAGTATGTCTTTATCGAGGAAGGGTGAGCATGATGTCAAGATAATCATTGTATATTATAGAACACACCAGAGGGGGCGTTTCATAAAACTTGTCATCAGTGAAAAATGACAGTTTTTGTTATAAGCTACTGAAATCCTTGCTTCTGATTGGTTATCAGCTGATTTGTCACTGGTTTGTCATTGAAAAAAAGGCTTTATGAAACGCCCCCAGGGCCCCGTTTCATAAAACTCGTTACCAATATCGGATGCTAAATTTTCTATGACGAATTTGCTCTCAGCCAATCACATGCCACGATTTCAGTAGCTTATAACAGTTATTGTAGCCTGTTATTGATAACAGGTTTTATGAAACAGGGTCCAGACCCACTCAAAAGTGACCGGTAACAAACAAAGGTCGTGGTCAGTCTGACAAATGAGTAGGGGTTCTTATCGGCCTGGTGACCGTCTAATCGCTCTGAATGCGTTATTATCGAAGTAAAAATGAAGTTGAAATAATGATTTATTTATTTTTCAAATTTGAAATTTAAAAATAAAATTCAAATTGGTAAATTTACTATACATTTCGAAATTTGTTTTTCACTGGTAACAGTTTACGATCAATTTACAAAAGAAATAATCATATTCATAGACAATTACAGTAATATAAAAATACATTTATAACGGCTTTAGGTAAAGTTGGGTAGGATACACAAAATCAGTTTTGTACGATAAAGATGCCGATAATGGTAAATGCTTATAATTGCGATCACATCTTTTGCTTTCTCAAGACACTTTGGCTGAAAATATGTGTCATGATGTCTGAACCTATTGTTTCGTCTCTCTCTCTCCCTCTCCCATTCTTCCTTTCTTATCTCATTTCTCATTTTTAATTTGTTTCTTTCTCTCCTCCACTTTTCTCTCTCTCTCTCTCTCTCTCCCTCTCTGCCTCTCTCTCCCTCCCCTTTTCACACCGACTCTCCCTCCCCTTTCTCTGCGTTTGTCTCCTCCTTGTCCATATCTCCCTCTATATCTATGTGTCACTGTCTTTATCTCTTTCCCCCCTCTCCCTCTCTCTATCTATCTACCGATCTTGTTCTCTCTCTCCCTCACTCTGTCTCTCTCTCTCTCTCTCTCCCTCCCCTCTTTCTCTCACTTTCTCTCTCTCCATCTTGCTTCATCTCCCCCTCTCTCTCTCTCTCTCTCTCTCTCTATCTATCGCTCTTGTTATCTCTCTTACTGTCTCTCTCCCTTTCTCTCCCTCCCCTTTCTCTTACCGACTCTCGTTCTCTCTCTCGCTATGTCTCCCTTTACATAATAGTTGTTCAGTTGATGAGAGCACTGTGATCAGTCCAGACCAGCTCGACTTTGTCGGAGTCACCATGACAACCTTCCGTTTTGTTGGCTTAGGCAACAGGGTAAGCACAAAATTAACACAACTTACCCCTCTCCATTTCCCCATTTTTTCTTAGACAACAGGGGGTGTTTCACAAAGACTAAGATCAACTTTAAGTTGTACTTAACTATGGCAGACCATTCATGCCACTATTTGCTCTCATCATTTACTGGCATTGGTCTCTCAAGGGATGTACAAATCATGGTCACACATCTACGGCAGATAATACCGCATGTAGTTCTCTCTTATATGCTTCGTCGTGACGTTCCGTTTTACGTGATTTCGCAAACAATTATTTTCTTCAATTGTAAACTCTCCCACCATTTTCTGTTACAATAATTGTGTGCATTTGGCATTTTTCTTTAAATTAAATTCAGCTAGATTGAATTTGATTTAATATCATTCATTAAAATACATGAATTAATATTCTTTTCGTAATATGGAAAAGAAAATTAAGAGAGAAGTGGAAGGGATTAAGCAAAAAACTTTACCGAAATGGTAAGCATGTTCTACAAAGTTCATTTTCAGTAGACAAGATCAAAATATTTGTGTTTTCTGTGTATTTCTAGGTCTACATCCACTGCGACCTGCTCGTCTGTGACGCAACAACAGGGAACCTCACAGAATGCGACGTCACATGCCCAAGCGGGCTGAATGCGCGTCAACGTCGTGATGTCACAGGCTCGAAGTCTACACTTGCGCGTACGAGGATCAGCCGTGGACCAATCAGATTTAGACGTAGCCAAGAGAATTACGAGCAGAAGGAATGGATTTCATACGGTATGTTTTATATGTTATTAAAATTAATTTCACAAATCAAAAGTTATTTTGTACATATTTACGGCTCACTCACATTATTGTTGGCGCGGTAAATTGCCGGAAATATTTTTACGTTTAAGTGAATGGTAACTGCATGTAACGAATTTCCTGCACGTGTTCACTGAGCTCTATATGTTATAAGGTACAGAAATTTGAAGTCCAATGGGCCTAGTTCTGTCCGAAATAGATTTTCTGGGGTATTTCATTGTCCCGCCCCCCCCCCCCCCCCCCCCACTCAGGTTTCGAAATGACCGCATGCGTGTTCCAAAACTCTCCGGCTCGTAACAAAAGAAAAAGGTCGACCCGTATTGACTTTACACACCGGACTTTTGCTGAAAGGGGGGGGGGGGGTGTGCTGAAAAAGGCTCGTATAACAAAAGAAAAAGGTCAACCCGTATTGACTTTACACACCGGACTTTTGCTGAAAAGGGGGGGGGGGGTCGCTTGGAACACGCATACGCGTACCCTAAATAACACTGAGTGGGGAAGGGGGGGGCCGAGTTCATTGTAGCTTCAATCGTTTCTTCACTTATCTGAATGTATCTATATTTATCGTTAAAACAAAAACCTTTCTGAACCGTCATTCTCATCATTTCCCATGATTATCTGTTTCCACCTTGCAGACGGTAAACCCACGATCTCCTCTTTCAACCCCTGGATGCTGGCTATCGTTGCCATGGCAGCGATCATGATAGTTCTCCTCGTCGTCGTGGTGGTAGTCGTCAAGAAGATGACGTCAGCGATTCGTTCCCAAGATGCCCGGAAGCGGGATGATGAAGCAGCAGTACCACTTATGAACGAATGAATTGTATTAAAAAAAAGTCGTCGTAGAGACCAGCAGACACGGAGTTTCCGAAGTGAACAATAGGCTTATTGAAACGAAAACAATTAATATTTTTTTCTTTAATTGTTTGTAATATCAGAGGTATATTTCACATTTAGCAGTGTTTATACGATGTTTTTTTTTAATTATGGTTGGTGAAAATGAAATGAAGGTTTATTGAAATGGAATGATTGGAAATGGAATGGACAGGAAGAAAATTTAATGAAATGGAATGAAACGAAATGGAAAAAAAAGAAAATAAATGAAAAGGAAAATAATTGAAATAAAATGAAATGAAATGACAAATAAAATGAATTAAGATCTTTTGGGAACAGTTGAGAATCAATTTTTATATGAGAAATATAATACGGATGCAATTACGGGGGGAAAAAGGTCCCTGGTTCATTACTTATTCATCTTTAGAATAAATAAATCTTACGCTGTCGAAATTGACAATGTTAAAATCAAGTCTTGTGGTAATGTGATTTAAAAAAAAAAAAAAACATGTATTTAACCTTTTTGTACCTCGGAGTGATGCTTACGTCAATTAAAAGACATTGAAATCAGTGATTGAATTTATTCGATTTATTTTGTTTCAGTAGTGTAGTTTCATATATGCAAATGGGAATATACATACATGTAAGTTCGAATGATTTTACAAAGAGATAACGAGGGACCACGTCGTTCCACCGGGAGTGCGCGTCAGGTCGGGTAACACGGTATTTTGTGAAAACTTGTACTTAGTTCACGAAAGGTCGGATAAATTTAAATGCAAATAATCACTTTTCTTCAAAGATGGTCCTTGAGATAAAGATACTATCTTTATATATGTTTATTTATGTTTATATATGTTTAGGCATAAATATTCATACATGTATGATACACGCAAATAATACTAAAACAACAACACAAACAACGTTTATTTGTGAAAACCATCCCATACAATCAGACAACGACGAACTGTCGATCGCTGGCCTTTCGGTATCTATTATCAAATCTTGTGTTTAAGTATAGGCCTATCGTATTAAAAAGCGTCTGGTGGAGGTGCTTTTTTTCGTAAATTTGCTTTAGGTTTTTTTTTTTTAAGTGTTGGGTAAACTTGCCCGGACACTTTGGCGGTAAGAGGGGTGTTTTTCATAACCGTTACATGCTAGAACCTTTTGGAATTAGGGCTTGATTATTCACTTGGTTGCTTGGTTTGTTTGTCCAACCTGACTGCAAAGATAATATGAGTGCGCTTGTAAGTGAGCAACCAAGGCACCGACGGCTTCATATTCTCAGAGGGACTTGGTAATAAGGATTAATGCCTTACAGAAGGGCACTAATGTGTCGAGTTGGTAGCGAACCCGGGACCTCCCGGTTACGAGACTACTGCTCTACCACTAAGCCATCACGCCTCCTGCACGAAAGTTCGTGCGACCCGAACACGTGAAGATCCGCTGGAACGAAGTAAGCCGACAACAAGTCATAACAAAATTATATAGCCTAGGCCTCAAACACCACTTTTGCAAAGACTTTGGGCAATTTCAATTCCCTCAAATAATCTAATTAACAATAAAATTAATAACAACGATAATAATTACAATGACAAATGATGATAATTACAATGATTACAACAACAACAGCAGCAATAATTATGATGATAATAAAAATGATGATAATGATGAGAAATGTTAATAACAATGGAAGCAATTATAATGATATTAAATTGGATTCGAAAAATAATAAAAATTATAACTATAATGATAATAATATAATATGTTTATAATTTCCAAGAGTCTGATTAACAAAACTATATGGAATTTATTTCTCTCCAAAAACAATATTTTCAAAAAAAAGTGCTCTTTATTGTGATTCACTGAAGTATATCAATTATTCAAGTGCATCATACTCGCTGAAACCGCGATATTCTATTCCTCTCTAGAAATGTAGGCCTATACAGTTTCGAAACTAGCTCCACGTTTGTCGGTCTGTTTACGTCGAACTCTGTTTTAACTTGGTGTAAAGTTTTTTGCGTAGGTTTTGGTGTATACCCATACTTTCACCATGAGAGAGAACAGAGAAACGGTGTTATTGGTTGGTTTACTGGCTATCATCAGCATCACCGCGTTGGTGCTTGGGATCGTCGGCTTGAGTAAATCCAACGGGGCGAGCACGGGCGAGGCGCAGCCAGTCAACGTATACACTTCTGGATCGTCCGATGCACGTATGTATGGACACACGCAGGGGCGGCGATTTGTTTTCACGACCTGGGGGGGGGGGGGACGAAATGCGAGGGACGAGAGAGCAGTGGCGTAATGAGAAAAAACGTCTTGGGGGGGGGAGAAAAAAATCCGCATCACCACCACTCTTACATATTACATGCAGGCCCCATGGAACGTTTTTCAAAGTGGGGGGGGGGGGTAAAGTATTTACGATAAAGTAGAGCGAAGCAAGTGGAGCATAAATTGGCGTGGGGTCCAGGGGGCAGAGCCCCCTGGAAGTTTGGGGGTTTTAGACATTTAATTACGGTCAGATGAGCATAATAAAATATGTTGATACCTTATTTGACACTGGCATACAGGTAACTAATTAGAGTTGGGCCCAGGGCGGAGCCCCCAGAAGCTCGGGGGTTTTAGGCATTAAATTACGATCAGATGAGCATCCAGAAGCTGGCCCGCCTTAGGGCCCTTGGTGGGGTCCAGAGGGCCGAGCCCCCGAAAGCTCAGGGGTTTTAGGCATTTAATAACGGTCAGATGAGCAACCAGGGGGCAGAGCCCCCGGAAGCTTATGGAAAAATCATGCCATGTTACCAACATTTGTAAATCACTGGTATCGAATTAGAAATAAACCACGTTTGAATTTTAATTGGGGGGGGGGCATCTGTCACCCCCCCCCCCTCCCCCCATCAGTAAGCCAGTGTAAGGGAGCATATGGTGAACGAAAGGGGTGAAGGTGACGAAAGTGACTATACCCACTCACAGATTTTTGAAGTTTTCTTGTATTAAAAACTACATTACTTAGCAAAACTATGGTTTAAAACCAAACAATTTACTTTTTTCACACTTCACTTTTTTGCAATATTGACTCGTACATTTTGAAGGATATTATGTGAGGGAGCGTAGCTACCGAGCGAGGAAAAATTTGCATTTTTATTTGTCTAAACGTGCACTCTTTGGCCCCCCCCCCCAGAACCTTAAAGTGTGTTGCAGTCTTTAGTCAGTATTTGCTATACATTTCTTTTGCATTTTTCAAATTTCGAGGGGGGGGGGGGGATTATCCCCCCCCTAAAAAAATTAAGGGGGGGGACGTTTCCCCCCCCCCGTCCCCCCGGGATCGTACTATATTTATTGCCCATAAAGTTAGATATTCTCTATTTCTTTTTCGTGAAATGATGGTGACAATATGGTTTATTCTTGATGGATACAATTTACATCCTCTCAGAACTTTCTGTGTGTTTTAGCAAAATCTTAAGAAACTACTGGTTCTGGAAATATCGATCCCCTTTGAAAAAAATATACATTGAACTCACGATCGGATATAAAGAATAAAGGTACGCTGTGGGGGGGGGGGGGGTATTACTCAGACCCGTTCCCATTTGTAGGGGTCATTTAGGGGGATTTTTTTTCTCGAAATAAAGCAAATTTAGTTTTACAAATTTTAGATTTTGAAATTAGCAAAAAACTGGATTCATGTTTTGGGATATTTTTGTTAGAAATGGGACCATGTTTAGAATTTTTTGTGACAAAATGAACCATTAGAGCGGCATCCCCCCGTATATCTTAATATGTGAGAACCCCCTCCCCCCTCCCCCCCCCCCCCCTGGGTGCGACATTTTTAAACCTAACCTTGCCATCCTGCGTTGCATATTAATATTTGAATATATGAATATTTGCATTGGTATACGATGCGGTGGAGATCAAAATGAAATCGGCCAGATTCTGTACTTTACCAGTATGTCGCATTGATTATGTACAAATTATGACCTGCGTAGTCATTCGTTTTAATACGGTAAGCCTCCCGATTTTCTCGCAATGTCATTCGTTTTAATTAAACATAGCTTTGCATTTGCATAATTTTTGTATGAAAATCTAATTATTCTATTTAATTTAATTATCACCTCTGATTCTGTGTGCGTGCGTATCATGAATATTTATGACTAGCGCATGACGTACGATTATTATCGAGCAAATCAAATGCAGCGATAGGATGGCAAGGTTAGGTTAAAAAAAGACGCCCCGGGGTACACTCCTCTAATTTTCGATATTGAATCACAAGGATACTGTGTACAATTGGCCTACTCTGATATCCAGGTTGGCCCCTTGAATTGTATTTCTTTGGAAAATACGCAACGACTGAATACCATCCTAAATGTACATGTATTTGGTATACCAACAAAAGTTCAAGTTTTTTCGGGACAACTTTTCTAAATCACTACACAACACACTTTTCAACTATTTCTACACAACACAACTATACAAATATTTCTATACCATATAATTTTACAATTTTTTCTACACTAAATTTCTGTTCCTATCAATCAATTACATTAATTTATTGCCAGAATATTTGATTTCTGTTATAACACGTTTTTTAATATACTTCAACATTTTTCCCTACATTATCGTGACCTCACAATTTTATCCAGGGGGGTGTTTCACAAAGATCCTAAGTTGAACTTATCTCTAAGTTAGACTTAGCAATTATGGAAAGCCGTTTGCATCTCTGAAATTATTTTGTAAAAGTTATTTTAAAAGGCATAAAATGATGATTCAAATCATTCATATTTTATTTTATCAAGGAGATTTCATGTTCTTGACGTGGAATTTATAAAAAGTCTAAAATACTTCAATTTTCGCTTTTGATTATATTTTATTTTAAGGCTACAAATGGCTCTCCATAATATTTAAGTATACTTATAGTTAAGTTCGACTAAGGATCTTTGTGAAGCACCCCCCAGGGCATATTATTTTTTAATTATAATTCAATCTTAGTGTACCGTTGCCCCCGGTTAAAAATAAGCTGCTATATTAGTAGTATCAAAATGAACGCAACCTAAATTAACAAACATATTATTATTTGGTACAGCTTTCTATAAAGCCTTATTCCACAACAATATGTATCAACAAATCACAAATAATATCACAGGGGAAGATGGACCCGTAGAAGAGCCCTTATTATAAATCATGGAGTATTGCAAGTTAAAGATGAAGTTGAGTTCTGGTCATGCGATTGCATTGTGAAAGAAACGGTGTGGAATCGATCAGAAAAGGTTGATCATCTAGCATATAAGAATTTGTGTGTATTGCAAGGTTCTGGAATCATCAAGATCATAAGAAATTTGGCCAAGTCTTGGTAAAGTTACAAACACTGTACACAGAAAGATGTATATGGGACTACACGAACACGTGGCGTAAAAAACCGGCCCCCCGATTTTTACGATTTTACATGCATATTTAGAATATGAAGGCATTTGAAGAGCCATGCTTTTCAGGGAACATGTCTTATCTGATGTTCTTCCACACTTGCATAATAAGAATGAGTAACGCTCACAAATTATTGTTCACCTCTTCCCAGAACTCAACCTTCTC